CCGTGAGCCGTTTCCTGCCCTCGGCAGTGGCCATAGAAACCCCTGGGGGGACCTGGACGGGGCAGGCAGGGAGGGGAAGGCTCTGGAAAATAGCAAAGGCCAGTTTGGGAGATACTGGCTGACAGGGAAGATAAGGTTTCGGAGGGAACGTGTCCCTTGGCTGGACATAAACAGGAAAAGCGGCTGAGAGGGATGGGGGGGAGCGCAAGGCGGGAAAGACACCCTGAGCAAGCTTCCCTGCCAAAGGAAGTGTGCAGCGCTTTTAATGCAGCCCAGATTGCCAGGGCTTAAAGGATTTGTGGGGGGCCTGGGGCCACGGGGGACCAGGGATGGAGGAGATGGCCCCAGCTGGGCTGCCCCGGGGCGGTGGAGAATCCCAGAGCCTGCCCCAGGGCTGGCAGCAGCCCAGGGCAGGGAATGAGGGTAGCGGGATCTTGGGTCCCTCGTCGTTTCAGAGGGGGTGTCAGCAGGTGCTTGTGCCTGTGCAGGAGCCACCTGCGAGGACGTGCTGGCCCCCTGTGCTGGCGGCCCCTGCAAGAACGGTGGCGAGTGCCGGGAGTCGGAAGACTATGAGAGCTTCTCCTGCAGTTGCCCCTCTGGCTGGCAAGGTAGGGGCAAGGCCCGTCTGGGGGTTCAGCACACCCCGCTCTCCTCAGCTGCTCGGGGATTGAAAGATGGAGGGCAGGGAGCGTGGCTGGGGAGCGACGGGCAGGTGGCTGCCTGCGTGCCCTGCCCGACGGGAGCAGCCCTGCGCGGTGCCCAGCCTCGGGGAGGGTCCTGACCTGCCCCACGGCTCAGCCAGGTGGACGGGATGTGGCCATCGCCCGCACCCCTTGGCGAGGGCAGTTTGCTGCGAGGGCTCCCGCCCTGGTGCAGGCGGTGCCCAAGATGTCGTCATCATCCCCGGGGCTTTCGCCAGCACCTCCAGCCCACGTGGTCCCTGTGCTGCTCTGTCCTGCAGGTCAGACCTGCGAGATCGACATCAACGAGTGCGTGAAGAGCCCCTGCCGCAATGGGGCCACGTGCCAGAACACCAACGGGAGCTACCGCTGTGCCTGCAGGACCGGCTTCACCGGCCGCAACTGTGACACCGACATTGATGACTGCAAGCCCAGTAAGAGCAGGGGCCGCTCCATGGACCGCGGTCAGCCCGGCCCCGAGCCATCAGTTTCATTGCCCTTCCTTGGGCTGGGATCCTCCTCCTTGTGCATGGGCGAGCCCCGGCCACTGCTTTGGCCTGGGCCGTGCTGCAAGCCCTGCTCGGGCTTTTGGGCCACCTCAAGCACGTCCCGGTTGAGCTGCGTCAGTCCAGGGACGGATGGGAGCTGGCAGGAAGGAGGCTGGGGGGGGAGAGTGACGTGCAGGCAGTGAGCAAGTGTGTCCCATGTGCCCTCCTTGTTCCCAGTCCCCCGGTGGGGCCGGGCTGGCCTCTGCCTGGTCCACAGGCTCTGTCCCACCCCTCTGCGTGGCCGGGGGGCACGTGCTGGGACAGTGGTGCAGAGCAGCTCCCAGGCAGGGCTACTGTGCCGGGGCTGGACCATTGCATCTTCACATGCACGTCCCTCCTCTCCAGATCCATGCCACAATGGTGGCTCCTGCTCCGATGGTGTTGGCACATTCTTCTGCGAGTGCCTGGCTGGTTTCCGTGGGCCCAAGTGCGAGGAGGACATCAATGAGTGCGCCAGCAACCCCTGCAAGAACGGCGCCAACTGCACCGACTGCGTCAACAGCCAACCGCCACCCCTGCCCCTGCCCCTCCGGCTTCAGCGGCATCCACTGTGAGAACAACACGCCTGACTGCACAGAGAGGTATAGCCCGGCACGGCTCCTGCTGTGGGCGCAGCCTTGGGCAGGGCTGGAGCAAGGGGCTGAGGTCCCTACCCCGTAGCTCCCTTTGGCATGGAGCGCGACCAGCGGTGACTCACTGGGACGTGATGTCTGTGTTCCCAGCTCCTGCTTCAACGGTGGGACCTGCGTGGATGGCATCAACACCTTCACCTGCGTCTGTCCACCCGGCTTCACGGGCAGCTACTGCGAGCATGACATTAACGAGTGCGACTCCAAGCCATGCCTGAACGGGGGCACATGTCAGGACAGCTACGGGACATACAAGTGCACTTGTCCCCAGGGATACACCGGGCTTAACTGCCAGGTAGAGGAGCCTTGGGCTGTTGGCCGCTGACCCCAGTGTCTGTCCATGCATGCTGGCTGTGGAGATTTGGGAGGTCTCTGCAGTCTCCACTCCTGCAGAAGCCCTGCTGGGTCCTGACCCCCATCTCTTGCTCTGCTCCTCCCAGAACCTGGTGCGTTGGTGCGACTCCTCTCCCTGCAAAAACGGAGGCAAGTGCTGGCAGACCAACAACCTGTACCGCTGCGAGTGCAACAGCGGATGGACGGGACTCTACTGCGATGTCCCCAGCGTCTCCTGCGAGGTGGCTGCTAAGCAGCAAGGTAAGTCCCTGCCATGTGTACGGCCTCACAGGGCCAGGCAGGGTCCCCAGGTGCCCCCCGTGCTGGGCTCTGAGGAGGGACATGCTCAGTTCTCTTGGTGGGGATCTTTGGCACAACTAGAGCTATCTCAAGGATTGCTGTAACATGCACCCCCTGAGGCTGCAGTCCTGGCTGCGGTCCCCAGTGGGACGCATGGCAGCCAGGACGTGGCCCTGCAGTGCCTGGGTGTCACCGAGGTCCCCGCGTCTCACTCTGCTCTCCCTGGCAGGTATCGATGTAGCACATCTCTGCAGGAATTCAGGGCTCTGTGTGGACACCGGCAACACTCACTTCTGCCGCTGCCAGGCCGGCTACACCGGCAGCTACTGCGAGGAGCAGGTGGACGAGTGCTCCCCCAACCCCTGCCAGAACGGAGCCACCTGCACGGACTACCTGGGAGGCTACTCCTGTGAGGTGGGTGCTGTGGGGGGCAGAGATGCACAGGGAGAAAGCACCAGTTACTGCCTTTCTGCTGCCCAAGGAGCTGCCCCAGCTTCAGGCTGGCTCGGTGCCCCTTTACCAAGTTGGCGGCTGGGGTGCTGGCTGTGCTCCTGTAGCCATGTGGGAATTGAGTGAACCTCTCTGATAGTTCCTCTCTTCCCTCCTTGCAGTGTGTGGCTGGTTATCATGGAGTTAACTGCTCAGAGGAGATCAATGAGTGCTTGTCCCACCCATGCCAGAATGGAGGAACCTGCATCGATCTCATCAATACCTACAAATGCTCCTGCCCCAGAGGAACTCAAGGTAAATTAATTCCCCAGGCTGGGGCATTAGTGGTCTGAGTGTAGATATTCTTGGTATCTGCTCATTAGCTGCTTGGGCTAGCAGAAGCAAATGCAACGGTAGAGGTTTGTGTTTGCTTGTGAGCTTAGCCATCAAGGCCACGCAACCTTGGACGTGAGCTGCGCGGTGGTGCGTGCCTCCTGCCAGAGCGGTGGCTCAGACTGCCATTGACTTGGTCAGGCTCAGCCCCTTCGCAGGGAAGGTTCACACAAGGGACCACCGGGCACCCCGATACTGTTTGATGAGCTGTGTGGGTTGTTCCCCCATTTCTCTAGGGGTGCACTGTGAGATCAATGTGGATGACTGCAGCCCTTTCTTTGATCCTGTCACCCTGGGGCCCAAGTGCTTTAACAATGGCAAGTGCACGGATCGGGTAGGTGGCTACAGCTGCATCTGCCCCCCTGGCTTTGTAGGGGAGCGCTGCGAGGGAGACGTCAACGAGTGCCTGTCCAACCCCTGCGACGCCCGCGGCACCCAGAACTGCGTGCAGCGGGTCAATGACTACAAATGCGAGTGCCGACCTGGCTATGCAGGTGAGCGCTGTGTACCCCCTGCCCCCAGCGCCCAGCCCTGCAGCCCCCAGCCACCCCGCGCATCTCGCACGCCTTCCTCTGCTCCTCACGTGCTCCTCTCCCTCGGCAGGCCGTCGCTGCGACACCGTGGTGGACGGCTGTAAAGGCAAACCCTGCAGGAACGGTGGAACGTGCGCGGTTGCCAGCAACACTGGCCGCGGCTTCATCTGCAAATGCCCCCCGGTACGTACCCGCTCCTCCCCAGCTCTGAGCATGGGATGTTGCACAGACCCTGCAAGTCAGCCCCCCTTGCACAGAGGGGTAGTCAAGGGGCCAGTTTAGCCCCGAGGCTTCCCTGGCTGGGCCAGCCAGGGGCAGAGGCTTTGCTGCGGGTGCTGGCTGGAGCGAGGTGTATCCGTATATCCCTCCTCTCTTGCAAGGAGACTGGGTCAGGGTCAGGGAGAAGGAGGTGGCTCAGCCCTGCAGGTACAACGCACAGCTCTGTAGGACAGACTCTTGCCTGGTGAACCATTATTTGCTCCACGTAAAGGTGGAGCAGGCAGCTCTGGAGAAGAGGTCCCTTCGTTTCGAGGGGGAGGCTCTAACAGGGTTTACATTCCAGATTATTCTTGCCCATCGCTGGTTTCAGAGGATGCACCAGAGCCATGCCCTGATTCACTGGTTTGTGCCAAGTTTCCCAGAACACACACGCGTGTTAGGCTGCTGGTAGGACGGCATCAGTGATTCTGACTCCCTCCTTGCTGTCACTTCCCCAGGGATTCGTGGGTGCCACCTGCGAGAACGACTCCCGCACCTGTGGGAACCTGCACTGCCTGAATGGTGGCACCTGCATCTCCATCCACAAGAGCTCCAAGTGCATGTGCGCGCCGGCCTTCACGGGTCCCGAGTGCCAGTACCCGGCCAGCAGCCCCTGCACATCCAACCCCTGCTACAACGGGGGCACCTGCGAGTTCTTCAGCGATGCCTCCCCCTACTACCGGTGCAACTGCCCCGCCAACTTCAACGGCCTCAACTGCCACATCCTCGACTTTGATTTCCAAGGTGGGATCGGGCAGGATATCATCCCACCCAAAATTGAGGAGAAGTGCGAGATTGCAGTTTGCGCGGGGTATGCCGGCAACAAGATCTGCGATGGGAAATGCAACAACCATGCCTGCGGCTGGGATGGGGGCGACTGCTCCCTCAATTTCAACGACCCCTGGAAGAACTGCTCCCAGTCTCTGCAGTGCTGGAAGTACTTCAACGATGGCAAGTGCGACTCTCAGTGCAATAATGCTGGCTGCCTGTACGATGGATTTGACTGCCAGAAATACGAAGGGCAGTGCAAGTAAGTGACTTGCTCATTGATCCTCTTGTTTTAAAGCCTTTGTGACCTTTGTGCTGATTGTCTGGGGGTATTTTCTGGTTGCATCTGCTAAAGCTCCTAAGTGCAGACCTGTTGTTCACATTCTACATTCTGGTCTGCTGCCTACGGGGCTGCAACTCAAGCAACCACACTTCCCTGTGGTCTTACTGAATTTATATACACTTGTAAGTTCTCTGGGTTTGGCTCATTCCAGATGGCTTCCCTGTCCTTGCCTGTATCACGCCATAGAAGTGAATTCTCCAACTCGCAGTAGTAACACAGTGAGTTTCAGTGTAGGGAGACCCCAGATGGAAGAGCAGACAGAAAACATGATGATGTTAACATCCAGGCATTTACCAAACATTGTCTTTGGCAACAGCAGGAACTTAGTCCCAGATTCCTGGACAAACTCTGGTCTGAGTAACTATTCTGTGTCCCCACGTCTTCTCTGCGTCACAGTAATTTGTCCCTTTTTCTGGCAACTAAATTGCAACTTATAATTTAACAGCTGCTATCTCAGCTGCAGAGGTGAATGCTTCACGGCGCTGCGTGAAACAGTTGCCTTCCATGTAAACTGGCTTAGTGACTATCAGGATGAAGAATATTTATACAAAAGAGAGGTCCTTGTGGACCACCGCTTATTTTCTCGGCAGATAGGTAATATGCGCGGTGCTTCGTCTAATTCGTTCTTCTGCCTTTCTTTTTCTTCTGCCCAGCCCTCTGTATGATCAGTACTGCAAAGATCACTTCTCCGATGGTCACTGTGACCAGGGCTGCAATAATTTTGAATGCGAATGGGATGGTCTGGACTGTGCAAACAACATGCCAGAGAAGCTTGCAGATGGCACGCTGGTGGTGGTGGTCCTGATCACTCCCGAGAACCTGAAGAACAACTCTTTCAACTTCCTGCGGGAGCTGAGCCGCGTGCTGCACACCAACGTGGTCTTCAAGAAGAACCCCAAGGGAGAGTATATGATCTTTCCGTACTATGGCAATGAGGAGGAGCTGAAAAAGCATTACATCAAGAGGTCGACAGAGGACTGGTCAGATATGTCTAGTGCTGTCATCAATAAAGTAAAGAGCAGCCTCTACTCCAGGGCTGGCAGAAGGCAGAAGAGAGAGCTCGATCAGATGGACATCAGAGGGTAAGGGGGACCAACGGGTTCCTTTTTCACTGAGCAGCATTTGTTTTCTGTGTTGATACTAGTAACACGCTATGAAGGGAAGGATGTAGGTCAGATAATTGTATTTAGACGTTGCTTTCTGTGTGAATAGAAACCGGATTTTGCTCTCATGTGGGAAAAGCGAGTGATCGCTCAGGAATCCCTGATACAATGCTGCGCCGACTCTCACGACTGAAGGAGTCCTGTGTATTGTTGGGAGCTGGGGCTGGGCTGGGTGGGACCTGGAAGCAGAGGTTGGCCTGACCGACTGTCTGACTTCAGGAAGTCATTAAGTTAAGCCTCAGTTTCTCCCTGGGAAATGCTTTCTACAGCTTTGTTGTAAAACTCAATTACTGCAAACTGTGTTTGGAGGTCTTTGGTATAAACATATAGATCTAACCTTCTCCCTCTCTGTGGGCTCAATCAAAAGCCACCGAAAACAAAGGAGTTAGAGCAGCGAAACTGATGTGAAAAGATCTGAAGGCTCCCAAACAGCATTATTTAAGATACTGTAGTGTCTGGGTAATTTTAAAACATTGTGAAGCAGAGACTCCCTTCCATTCCTGGAGAGAAGGAATTAGATTTCACAGTATTCATTGAGGCAAATCCAATAGACCGTGAGTGTGAGCTGCAGGGCTTGGGCCACAGGGAAGCAAGGAGATGGGTTCCCACCTTCTAATTCCCACTGATGGGGGGTTAAGGAGGGAAGGGAGACAGGGCTCGTCTGTCTTCTCAGTGTGGTCATTGCTCCGTGCTTCTCATTGACTCTTCTCTCGTGCAGATCCATCGTCTACTTGGAAATTGATAACCGCCAGTGCATCCAGTCGTCTTCCCAGTGCTTCCAGAGTGCAACCGATGTGGCGGCGTTCCTGGGTGCCTTGGCCTCCCTTGGCAACCTGAACATACCCTACAAAATAGAAGCCGTTAAAAGTAAGTACGGCTGGTCGGCTGGGGAGGAGAGACAGCCAAAACTTTCCAGCCTTATCCACGTTTAGTTATCTGTCAGCTGGCTGCATTTGAGCACAGTCTGGTTTTAATAACCTTGCATCTTTTTTTTTTTTTCTTTAAGTCTGTTCTTAAAAAAATTGCAAAACCAGTTTATTATTTTTGCTTATTCCAGGTTTATTTCAAAATCATTATCACTATAAAAGTCGTAAAAAAAAAAAAAAAAAGAAAAGAAAAAGAAAACCCAACCAGCTCCAATCAATCAGTGACATGGAAGGAGTTGAAGTTTGTATCTTGAAAATCCCCCCTAAATCCTTTTGTCTTAACAGCTCAATGCAAGCGCAATGATTTGAAGTTTGCTAATCCTTTTCCTTAAAGGAGAAAAAAGTGAAGCTGTCTCCTGATGCAGGCTGGCTTGTGCAGCCGAGAATTTGCCGATAGTTTGCAATTCTGATTAATAGCGTATAAAATGACCTTATTTTGGGGGGGCTGATTTAGATCAGACTTAGGTACCTCTATTAACTAATTTTCCTTCATTTCCACTCTGTCACTGGTTTGCTATGCAGCTTAATGTCTCAGCATCTCTTTGTGCCCCACTGTTTTGTAGGTGAAACAGCTGAGCCCACGAAGAACTCCCAGCTGTATCCTATGTACGTGGTGGTGGCTGCGGTGGTCGTGCTTGCTTTCATTGGTGTGGGAGTACTGGTGTCTCGTAAGCGGCGCAGGGAGCATGGGCAGCTTTGGTTCCCAGAAGGCTTCAAAGTGACAGAGTCGAGCAAGAAGAAGCGACGAGAACCACTTGGGGAGGATTCTGTTGGACTGAAGTGAGTAATTGGCTTGCTAACCCGTTAAACACAGCGCAGCGGGGCTGCTCGGGGCTCTTCTGAAAGAACCCATCGGAGTTTTGTTCTCTAGTGCATCATGTTGGCGTAGCGGGGAGGAGAAAAATCAGGTTTCTTAAAGTTCTGCATGGGGAAAAGAGTGTTCCCATCTGGAGGAGGTTTTTAAATGCTTTGTGGTCCGTTTGCACTTGGTAAAAAATGAAAGGCAACCTGAGGGGAACCTCCTGGAAATTGCCTTGTTGATTCTTCTTTCAGTTTGTGCATGTAGATAAACACAGTCCGTCACAGCCTAGTTCCTGCAGAGGAGCTAATTTTTTGTATGGTTTTATTTTTAAAGACCCCTCAAAAATGCTTCAGACGGCACGCTGATGGATGACAACCAAAATGAGTGGGGTGATGAGGAGACCTTGGACACCAAGAAGTTCAGGGTAAGCTCACTGCCACATTCCCTTTCTGTGCTGCAAGTAGTCACTCGCTGGGTTTTGTCATGGAAGGAGCAGAGCGCTGCGGAAAGCGGCACTGCGGAGGGACCCTCGGGGGCCCGGTCTGCGCTGTGCATCGCTGCTGCCGGCTCCTTTGCAAACCTGTGTGTGACAAACGCACCTTTGAGACTTGCAGAGCTTCCCACGCTAGAGCTCAGCCCCCTCCTCCCACTCTGACTTGTACGCTTTTGCTGGGTGCTCATTTCCCACTGTCATTCCCCAGTTCGAGGAGCAGGCGATGCTGCCTGATACAGACGATCAGACGGATCACAGGCAGTGGACCCAGCAGCACCTGGATGCCGCTGATCTGCGCATATCCTCCATGGCGCCTACTCCACCGCAGGGGGAAATCGATGCAGACTGCATGGATGTCAACGTCAGAGGTCCCGGTAAGGTGGACTTCTTTCGCTTTTGTGCTGCTTGTCAGCTAATCTAAAATCCTCCCTTACCCCTTGCAGATGAGCAGTCCCAGACAGCCCTACCTGTCTCTGTTGCACAGGGAGTCGCTGCTAGCCGTTCTGCATCGCATGGCTGCTGTTGTGCGTGATTTAGAGATAGACCCTGTCACATTCTGCTTTCCATGAGATCTCTTTTGTTTAATCACTGAGATGGAAATTAGGGAATACAGAAGAAGTACCTATTAAATCATCCAGCTTATCTCTCTGCCACTCCTAGATTCCTCTCCTCCCACCAAACTGCACATTTCACAATCTTCTTTTCAGGTTTTTAACTATATTAATAGTTAATAGGCATTTAAATTATTACAAACATTTGGTCTTCCCCACATCTGTGAAATTGTCCTCTGAAATAATAAAAATATTTAAGGCTGCGCTGTACCATACTCAAGTTTGCTTTGAGCAACCTTCCTTATAAATTGCACCTTACATGCTAGTGTGCAAGCTAGCAGATGAAATAGGAAAAGCAGTGAGTGGTGAGATACCGCTAAGGAATTTCAGATCCATATCAGAGGAAGGATATTCGTGTTTGATGTTTAGAACCAGTCAGGAACTCAGTCTTGATGCACCCACGAGAATAAGCATCTATCGCAGACAGAGCATCTTGCTGAGCCGCCTGCATTACAGAAGGGTAAAAAGCCTTTTTTCACCGAGTTCCCCTGTGCTTTTCAGATGGCTTCACGCCCCTCATGATCGCCTCGTGCAGCGGAGGAGGGCTGGAGACCGGCAATAGCGAAGAGGAAGACGATGCTCCCGCCGTTATCTCGGATTTCATTTACCAAGGCGCCAGCTTACACAACCAGACTGACCGTACCGGCGAGACGGCGCTTCACCTGGCTGCCAGGTACTCCCGCTCGGACGCTGCCAAGCGCCTGCTGGAAGCTAGTGCCGATGCAAACATCCAAGATAACATGGGCAGGACGCCCCTCCACGCCGCCGTCTCTGCTGATGCCCAAGGAGTCTTCCAGGTAATTGATCCTTTCGCCACCAGTCTCAGGGTTTTCTGGGGAAAGTACCGGTGCTACGCGTTGAGCCAGTGACACGACTGAGCTTATTGCAGGGTCTCCAGCTTGCCCTGGCAAGGTGCGGGGTGGAAGTCTTGAAAACCGAAGCCCCTGTTGTCTCAGGGCAGGGCACAGCAAAGCAGCAACCCCGTAGCTGCCCTTGGATGTTCGCCCGAAGTCTGGGAGGGGGAACTGGAGGGACCAGCCTCTGGGAAAGGGGTTGCAGGTCCTGAGACCTGGGTACCTGGAGTGCCTGCTGCCTGTCCCTCATAATGTTTGTTTCTCCTGCGTTTTGGCCCTTGTTGCGGCAGATCCTGATTAGGAACAGGGCAACCGATCTCGACGCTCGAATGCATGACGGGACCACCCCTCTGATCTTGGCCGCTCGCTTGGCTGTGGAGGGCATGCTGGACGATCTCATCAACTGCCATGCAGATGTCAATGCCGTGGATGATCTAGGTACTGCAGGCAACTAAAACACGGGCGGGCTTCCTCAGAGGTGGGCGGAAAGGGCTGCTTGCTATTGCCCTTACCACTCACTAACGCATGTTGTATGTCATGGTCTTCCTCCATAGGCAAGTCGGCACTGCACTGGGCTGCTGCTGTGAATAACGTTGAAGCCGCAGTAGTCCTCCTGAAGAATGGTGCCAATAAGGATATGCAGAACAATAAGGTAGGGGTCTCCTGGGCTGACATAGGCAAGGAAAGAACCATTTGGGGAGCCTGTTGAAGGGTAATTTTTGCCTAAAATATAACACTGTCTGGCACTGAGACTCTGATTTGATTATTCTGCTGTGAATGAAGCTGTTGGATTTAGCTCAAAGCAGCACTGTGGGATTTGGTCCTACGGGTGATGTTGAGGGGCCGTGCAGTGCTTGGTGGTATGGTGCAGTGTTAGTGTGGCCATCTCCTCGCACGTTCTGGGTCACTCGCAGGGTTCCTGGTTTGATGTCGGTATAAGGACGTGGCTCAGCAGGGTAGGAACAACCAGCAGCAAAACCTCACCAGAGGAGAGACAATTACTGTCTCTGCCACCCAACTGCATGGTGTTGGGCGTAGAGCTCAGGATAGTGTTAGCCAGGAGAATCTGTGAACTTAAACCTAACCATCTTTGCTGGGTTTCTAGGAGGAGACCCCACTCTTCCTCGCAGCCAGAGAAGGGAGCTATGAAACGGCCAAGGTCCTGCTGGACCATTTTGCCAACCGTGACATCACGGACCACATGGACCGGCTCCCACGGGACATTGCCCAGGAGCGGATGCACCACGACATCGTGAGGCTGCTGGATGAGTACAACCTGGTGCGGAGCCCACCGCTGCACAACGGCCCGCTGGGGGCACCCACGCTGTCCCCACCGCTCTGCTCTCCCAACAGCTACATCGGCAACCTGAAACCTGCCGTCCAGGGCAAGAAGGCCAGGAAGCCGAGTACCAAGGGCCTGAGCTGCAGCGGCAAGGATGCCAAAGACCTCAAAGCCCGGAGGAAAAAGTCACAAGATGGAAAAGGATGTCTGCTTGACAACTCCAGTGTGTTGTCTCCAGTGGACTCCCTGGAGTCGCCCCATGGGTACCTGTCGGATGTTGCCTCTCCTCCACTGATGACCTCTCCATTTCAGCAGTCCCCTTCCATGCCTCTGAATCATCTGCCAGGCATGCCTGATGCCCACATGAGCATCAATCACCTCAACATGGCGGGGAAGCAGGATATGGCCATGGGAAACTCCAGCAGGATGGCCTTCGATTCAGTGCCACCACGTCTTTCTCACCTCCCTGTCTCCAGCCCCAGCACAGTGATGAGCAACGCCCCGATGAACTTCTCCGTCGGCGGAGCGGCCGGTCTGAACGGGCAGTGTGACTGGCTCACCAGGCTGCAGAACGGCATGGTCCAGAATCAGTACAACCCGATGAGAGGCAACATGCAACCAGGGGCGCATCAGCAGACGCAAAACCTTCAACACGGCATGATGACCTCCCTGCACAACGGCTTGCCCACCACAAGCTTGTCGCAGAAACAGCTCCAGCAGCAAAACATGCAGCCGCAGCAGCAGCCACAGCAACCCCAGCAGCAGCCGCAGCCGCAGCAGCCGCAGCAGCATCACAACCCCAGCTCCAATGCGAGCGGCCACATCGGCCAAAATTTCCTTGGTACCGAGCTGAGCCAGCCCGACATGCAGCCGGCGAGCAGCAGTACCATGGCAGTCCACACGATCCTGCCTCAAGATTCCCAGATGCTGCCCACGTCTCTGCCATCCTCCCTCGCCCAGCCCATGACCACCACGCAGTTTCTAACTCCACCTTCCCAGCACAGTTATTCCTCCCCCTTGGACAACACCCCCAGCCACCAGCTCCAGGTGCCCGACCACCCTTTCCTAACGCCGTCTCCGGAGTCGCCGGACCAGTGGTCCAGCTCGTCTCCTCACTCCAACGTGTCCGACTGGTCTGAGGGCATTTCCAGCCCTCCCACGAGTATGCAGTCACAGATGGGACACATCCCCGAAGCCTTCAAGTAAAAGACGGTGTTTCAGAGACACTGGCGCTCAGTGGGAGTTAGAGAGAGATCGAGGGAGATCTTTTTTAAAAGGACATCGGATGCTTTTATTAAAGGATCCTTTTTAAATATGTTTTTATTAAAAAAAAAAAAAGACAAATTAATTCTTTTTTTTTTAGTATTTATTTATGTACTTTTTATTTTACATGAAAACACTGCCTTTTTATTTATATGTTCTATTGTTAAGAACTCAATGTGGGACACCAGTTGTGTTTCAAGAAATCAAAAAATTAGGTTTTTATAGGACATTCTCATTTGTTGGGGGGGGTTCATTGTGTTTGATTTGAGAGGAAATGTTTATGTAAAGCTATAAGCAGCGATTTGTGACTCTGAAATGCCATTAATTTATTTTTTCTCTTTCAACTCAGAAAGAGAGGTGAGAAAGAAAAGGGAAAGGAAAAATTGACTAAAAATACCACTCCTTAGGGGGGGAAAAAATTAAGTATGGTCAGATTTTTGAAATGTACTTTAAAATGCTTCCTTTGCTATTATATCTGAGAGGACATTTTATGGTACCAGTCATGAATCTTTGTTTAAATTTCAGTATTATATAGTTGTACATTTGCCTTGATAATAGAAATTTTTGTTCTCTCTTGTTTTTTATATATATAAAAAAAATATATTTAAATGATTTTTATGATCTAAAAAAAAATAATCAGGATTATAGACCTGTAAGAACAGGTTCTAAGCTAAAAAAAACCCCGACAAAACGTGAATACTGTCCTCCACCAAAAAGAAGTGTATTTGCCAAACTTTTAAGAGAGCAAGCCCGTAACTACGGAGTATATACCAAACCCATAACTGTGGGGTTTATACACAAAGGAGACTTAATTTTACTTTGAATATCTTTACTGTTTTTTGTTTTCATGTTTGCATTTGAGTAACTGTTTAAGAAATAAATGCCAATATAAACTTGTAAACCACATCCTTATTTTAAGGATGGCCTGCCTGTTTTAAAGAAGGCGTGTCTATTGATGCAGACAACCTGAGTGAGATTACAAAGCATTGTAACACTGCCACCGCCGCGTGCTCGCCCGTATCCAGCTCCTCTGGCAGCGCGATTGCTGGGTGCTCAGTGGAAAGCGCTGCCGGTTTTGGTGGGGTGCTGGACTGGCTGAACAGGAGGGCGAAGGACAGCACAGCCGAGCCTGTGCTGTGAAACGTTAACATTTTGTTCTTGTTAGTCTGGAGTGATGCATCTTTTTTTATATTGATGTACACTCTTCCTGTGTATCATGTAAAATATAGTATAAGCCTGTGGCAGATTTAATGTTTGTAAATATGTTTTTTTTAAGAAAAGGTGGATTTTGTTTCAAAAATCTAAATGAGCAACTCTTAAATATATCATAAATATATCACCTTGTAGAGGTGTTGGAATATCACTCACTCGGGTGCGAAGGCAAGCAGACACCCTAAGACTAGATATGTGTATGGGACAGGCAAATAGAGAGCAGTTAATCAAGAAAACCTAAGAAGAGGGTTCCTTTTCCTCATTCTTTTTTATTAGAACACCAAATAAAATGGATATTTCCCAAGGCACAGCGCCTTGCTGAGCACTCATCTTAGTTAACATTTCAGACCATTGTTATTGTGACATGCCTAATATGAGTGATAAAAACATCACGTGGTGTTGAATCTTCCTATGTTTTATAAACTAGAGTGTAGTTTAAGAAAAGATATCTTCTGTAATAAAGTTATCTACATGCAAAGTTGTAGTTTGCAAAAATGATGTATTTTTTTTGGTTAACTGATTTGCAATAAATGATGCTTCTGGGCATCTAGATTTTACTAAAACTGGAACTTAGTGTTTTTGTTACGGATTGGTTGAAATCCGGGCTTGATACCCTCTGTCTTTCAATACTGCAGGGCTGCCTCTCGGCACAAAGTACCGGCACTTTCCTAACGTCTTGTTCTCTGTGTTAAAGCTCAGAGCAGTGCTTTGGACAATGAAGCTTTCTCCTTAACTTGTGCAAAACTCTCACCGACTTGAGACGTCTGGTTTGAGCAAGGCGGGAGGGGCTCTGTGAGGCTGTCAGCCAGGATGAGCTCTGCCCAGGTAGCCCTTTACCTGTGCTGTGGATGCTCTGATGTCTTCTCAGGCCTCTGCCATTAGGTCAGGATCTAAAAGGGGAAAACACCATTGAAAAGTTGTTTTAAAGAACGTCACTCACGCGTGTTCAAAGTACTGTATTCTGTCACTTTAAAACTTTGCTTTCTGATCAGTTTTTTAGGAGCGTTCTCTGGCTGATGAGACGGCCAAGGGTAAAAAATGACCATGTGCTTTTAATTACATAGTGCCTATGGAAACAGAGCCCTCTACGAGTGGTGTTAAGCGTTATGTTTAGTGCTTCCTACTTCACACACAGCACTGAGCATACGGCTGGGCTCTCAGATGTGGTGGCTTGCACAGATAGGAACTGGGAAGCCATCTGATGGCACCGCTGAGGGGCAGCAGCACCCGAGGGAAAGTTTCACCAATGCCACTCCGGGCACAACCACCGCGCAGAAACGTTTGCTGTCCTTGCTGCACTCAGGGTTTTTAAGGTAATTTAATTTAATTCTTTCGCTTCCCCACAGGGACTCTGTAGTCCAAATGCAGCTGCAAAGTCCCCAAATAACTGGATATAAATAGCCAAGCCATGGACCTCCTCCCAAATCAGATAAGCCTGGTAACTCGTGGAATGCTGGTATTTTCCACTCCGCAGCCGGGGAGGGAGTGGGCATGTGTGTACATGTACCCGGTATCCAGCTCCAGATGGATTCAGGGCCGCCAGACATTTGCTGTACAACCGGTCAGAAGCTGGTGCTGCAGCAATGGCATTTTATGTGCCACCCAGCAGCAGTGAAACGCAGAGCCTTCAGAGGTCAGGGAGGCGATGTGCCAGCGTGCACGCCCTGCAAACTCCATGAAAAGGGGTATTTTAACTGAGGACAAATCCTTCTTCCCCCTGCAAAATGTGGTTTACCAGTGAGGATCTCATTACCCCAAGGGACACCCTGGAGATGGGCTTCCTGAGACGTGCTTTTCCCCCCAGTTGTGTCTTGCTGCATCCCATCTGGGGTACGCTAGATGAAGTGTGTCTGCCTTCACCACAATTCGCACATGTGCTGTCCATGAATCACGTCTGGGAACATCCAGCCGTGTTCCCACGCAGCCCATCCTTCCAGGCTTCTCCCACACGTAGACATCCCAGCCCTCGTGCCCATGGCTGGCTGCAAGCACGGCATGCCTCCGTGCTGCCAGTGAGACTGGGAGATGCTCATGCCAACGTGAGGCATTAGTAAGACTCTCCTTGGTCTAGTGTGCAACACTCTGGTCACTCATGGTCGAGGCGGGAATTTGGCCTGGAATGGATTAAAAAAAGGGGGTTATGAGGATGTGCAAAACAACACGACATTGCAAGAGGCAACTAAACACATGTGGCTCATTTAAGAAGTCTGGGGCTGCAAAGCACGTCGTTTTCCATGAGGATGGATCAGAGGGACAGAAGGAGGAAAGAGGGGGCTAAATACCATTTTTTTAGAGGCAAAACAAAAAGGTCTGCATTGGCACATGAATAGATACTAATAAATTGGCCACAAAGTAATTCAAACTGGAAGTCAGAAAAGGTTTTCTAAGCAGTAGGGGAATAAGGATACACAGTTTCATTTTTAAGCGTTTAGCCCCCAATGACTCTTACATTTATGAAGGCGTCTGGTGACCCACAAACTCCTGCCAGTCCCTCGTTCCTGCTTTCCTGAGTGGGTACATGAGATGACCATAGGGTCACAGATCCCCAGCTGGGATGGAGGCAAAGTTAAACGAGGAACGAGAGAAACGGCCCCAGTTTCAAACCCTCCCTCCACACTTAGGGCTTTCCCACCAACTCTCTCTCCAGAAGGATTTGCCTTTCCCCAATCCCCTCCAGCCAACCCATATTGTCCAACCACAAGCTCACCTTTACCTCATGTTGGTAAAGATGCTGGGAGCTGAATATTCAAGCTCTCCTGTCGACAGAAGATGCCAAGGAATGAATGGGTCATGGCAGGCACAGTTGTTTTAGCATTCCAGGTGAAAAAGGCTGAGAAACACTAAAATTACATCCCATGCCAAGGGAAGGGTTCAGAAGTGTTTGCGTAAAACAAGATTAGCACCGAGCTATTCTGATGGCAAGTATGTTGATGCTATGAGGAATCGGTGCATCTGAACTATTTGTTTACATGCTGGAGGCCTTGGGGTTTTTATTCTTTGTTTTCATTATTCCTGCTCAATTAGATGGGACATTTAGAAATTGCTACTCTCTATTGCTTTTACCTCCAGGCTATTGGTGTTTGCTCAGAAAGTTGCTAACAGCTGCTTGAACCCTGATTGCTGAATTGTTACTGCAGCTCAAATCACCCCCTTAAGAATGTACAAAAGGAGCCAAATTCATGTAAGGTGTAGCCTCTCTTGATTACGCACGGGTTAATGTGGCTGGGGTAGTTTGAGTAATGACAGCAACTAAATGAGTAAATAAATAAAGCTCAGCTTGTCCGAGTTGGCTAACCTGATACAGAATGCTGATACTTGTAAGAGAAACTCTCCTTTAGCCATTTTCCCTGTTTCTAAACTCAGAGAATGATCCTTTTAATAGCGAGCTCCTGGAGCAGGGCTGTGTTTGTGGTTGCCTGCAACCTGCAGGCTGAATAAATTACCAGAATTTAATGGGAAAAGGTCAGTATCATTTGTGTTGTACCCCAAGTAAGCTGATGAAGCAGGAGAGAAGGATGCATGCTGTCTTCTTCCTGCCAGCAAACCTTTTTATTTGTAATGGGTCACTCTCAAGTCCAGAACTGGCTGCGTTTGCTGAGTACAGCAAATCAGTTAGAAAGCCTCAGGGTAAAAAGGGATTGAACATCTTAATGTGACAATTCTTTATAATCACATACTTATCAGGAGAACAGCGAAGGTGAGATGCCATCATTAGTGTTTGCATTGTGTAT